TACAGTTTTTTTTACAACAGTTGTCAATAAGAAGTTAAGAATACTCTATTTAAACAATAGTCTGGGTTGTTATTCTAGAACTGTTTTAAAATTTATTAGAAACAGTTATCTAACGTTTGTTGTCTATTTCGTATGGGTTTTTTGCCACTGTTGTTTATAATAGGAATAGAAGACTCTTTTAGAACAATAGTCTATAAATTATGGGTAGAACTGTTTTTGAAGCTGTGAGAAACGGTCATCTATTATTAGTATTCGGTTTCGTAAAAAAATACAGTTTTTATTGCCACAGTTGTCAATAATTTGTTAAGACTACTATTTCTTAACAAAAGTCTGGTTTCCCAGTGTATAACTGTTTTTAAACTTATAAGAAATAGTATTGTATTACAAGTAGTGTGTGTCACACTATTTTTTTCACAGTTATCTATAATAAGTAAAGAAAACTGTTTTTAAGAGAATTGTGCATATCAAGCCTAGAACTATTTTAAAAGTTAAGAATACTTGTTTTAAATAGTAGCCTAGCTCTTAAGCCTAAAACTATTTTAAAAGTTTGGAGATACGGTAATCTTTTACAATGAAAATGTATACGCTCTCTAACTTTACATTCATACTTTCAAGCCAATACGCTGCCCAGGGACACCATAAAACATCCAAATTGTTTCAGGTACACCATCAGCGAACCCACCCACAACAGGACTGCCCAAACAGCCCTCAAACAAATGGCAGTAGCATTTTCCACTGTCAACTTCCACAGCGAGGAAGTGATGTTATCCAGCCCATGGTTCCAGCATCCTCTCCGGCAATAGGACTTCTAGGACAAGCAACAAGACATGCCAAGCCCTGTCCCCATTCCTTAGTTACGCAGGACAAAAACAACAAGTATTACTGTCCATTCCAGCGAGTCAAAGTCCTTTTTGTTAGAGGCATATAAACCAGTAGTCAGTCTGGTTTTAAGCCATATACCAACTGCCGTCAAGTGTTAGTAAGAACCAATCCATAGCTTGCCTTCAATTCAGCAAACTCATCACCAAAAGTAGTGCAGTTTCTGCATTTCAATAAGGTCAAAGGCAGCCCCAACCTAGCTGGTCAGAGGTTGAGTTCAGCCACTCTAGAAGGTTTCCAAAGATTGGCATGTTGAAACCAGTCCAAAGCATAAATTGCAGTTCCAGCTCCACTATTTGACACAATTCATAGATTCAAAATCCTCCACAAAGCATGAACCAGAGCTTTAGGTTCAAGTAATTAACACTTCAAACACATGCAGTCAAGAATCATGTGCTCTGGGCAGATTTGGGCATTTCCCGGACCCAACAACCTACTCATACAGTTCTTCCATGGCTTCAGGTCCTCCTCAACAAAAAACACCCACAAAAAACCAACACAAGACTCTCATGGTTCCAAAGTCAGGACCATGGTTCAACCCAAAACAAGAGCAAGAACAGAACGGAATATCAACCACAAAAACAAATTCACAACAGCAAAAACATCCACAAGAATCAACTGACCAAGACGAAACAAGAACCAGTGAATGCCAGCACCAATGTCACGTAGTGAACAGTGATTTCACAACCTCAAAAATCCTCAAATCATATGGAAATTCAAATGTTTGTGGAATCCACCTTCATACCTTGCGTGAAAGTAGCGACGTTGACCTCCAATTCGTCGGATTCCATCTTCAAAGATCAGCGATTAGACTCGGATATAGATTCACTTGCCGAAGGCGAATTCAGAGCTCCAAAAATCACAAGAATCGAGCCAAAATCAAGGTGGAGATCGGAAGTCAACTTCGCCAAATCTGATTTGCTTGCTGACCGATTCTCGTGGAACCGTGCGCCAAATCCTGTTCGTCTATTGCATCAAATCCGAAAGGAAAGAAGAACAAAAAAGAAATTGTGGGTTTTCCTCTCATCTTTGCTAGCATTTCTGGGATTAAATCTTTATCTCATTTGAGCTTATTTAGGATTTTTGTGATTCTTTATTTGATAGATCCCATCTTTATGGCGGTGAAGAAGAAGGAACCCAATGAAAAGAGAAATTAAGATGAGGGAGAATGAAATTTAGAGGAGGGAAAATGAATTTTGAAAGAGGGAAATTAAAATTGTATAGATTTGGAGGTAAACATTCAATTAGAAAATGAATTTGGAAAGAGGGAAATGAAAATTTTTAGAATCAACAATTTGATTTTTGAAACAAAAAGGTTTTTTGGTCCATAAATTTTCTCTCTTATGTACCACTTTCAATTAGGGGTATATTGTTTTGTTAATTGAATTTCTTACTCACATGGATCCAATTCCACAAGATACCCATATTTTTGACCGTAAAACATCATACCGGTACTGATAACTAAAATACTTACTTGCATAAGTCTAATTTGGCTGATCAAATCTTTAAATTCATCATATCGGATATAATTAGATCGAATTAGACCAAAACAGATCTAAGCGGATCAAATCAATTAGGTGTGATCTAATGCATTTAAAGATTAGATTCGGAAAATAGGACACAACGTATACAAGTAAATAGAACTTTTTGAATATTTGATATGGTCTTATTGGACATGAATTTGATTTGATCCAATTAGATCTATTTTTGTTCGATTTGATCTGATTAGGTCCGATGTGATGCATTTAAAGATGATATCAGGCAATTAGGATACAACCAATATAAGTAAACAGGTTTCCTATGAAAGTTAAATCTGATCTTATTAGATTCGAAAATCATTTGATCCGATTAGATATGTTTTGGTCTAATTAAGTCTGATCTAATGTTTTAAAGAACTAGAACACAACGTATACAAGTAAGTAGATCTTTTTAAAGATTTGATCTGATCTTATTAGATTTGAATTTGATTTGATCCGATTAGATCGATTTTGGTATGATTTGATCTAATTAGGTCCGATCTGATGCATTTAAAGATTATATTGGGCAATTATAACACAACCCATACAAGTAAATAGATCTTCTTTGAATATTTGATATGATCTTATTATATTCGAATTTCATTTGATGAGATCAGATATGTTTTGGCTTAATTCGATCTAATTAGGTCCGATCTGATCCTTTTAAAGATTACATAATGAAAATAGGACACAACCTATATAAAAGTTTAGATTTTCTTAGAAGATTTGATCTGATCTTATTGGTTTTGAATTTGATTTGATCTGATTAGATCTGTTTTTGTCCAATTTCATCTAATTACGTACGATCCGATGCATTTAAAGATTAGATCAGGAAAATAGGACACAATGTATACAAGTAAATAGATCTTTTTGAAGATTTGATATGATCTTATTGGATTTGAATTTGATTCGATCATTTCTTTTGGTCTAATTCAATCTAATTAGGTCCGATTTAATGCGTTTAAAGATTAGATTAGGCAAATAGGACACAACCTATATAAGTGAATAGATTTCCTTCAAGTTTTGATCTCATCTTATTGGATTTGAATTTGATTCGATCCGATTAGATCTGTTTTGGTCTGCTTCGATCTAATTAGATCTAATCTAATGCATTTAAAGATTAGATTAGATAAATAGGATACAACCTATACAAGTGAATAGATTTTCATATTGGATTGGAATTTGATTCGATCTGATTAGATCTGTTTTGGTCTGATTCGATCTAATTTAGTCTGATTCAATCTAATTAGATCCGATATGATGCATTTAAGGATTATATCAAGAAAATATGACACGACCTATACAATTAAATTGATTTTTTTTAAATGTTTGATCTGATCTTACTAGATTTGAATTTGATTTGATTCGATATTTTTGAAGTTTTGATTTGATTTTATTGGATTTGACTTTGATTTCATCCGATTAGATCTGTTTTTTGTCCGATTTGATCCAACTAAGTATGATCCGATATGGTTCGGATATCAATCAGTTCAGATAGATTTCGGGTTGAGATAGATTTCGGTTTAGATATATTTCATCACTTCATATTACCTTATACTACAAACTATGAAAAAAATACGCATATTACCTTCAACTACTACCTCCATCCCTGAATATTTGTTTATTTTTACTCTTTTTGTCAAAATTAGCAAACTTTGATATGAAATTATATAAAAGTGATATTAGATATTGATACGTACAAAAATAATTTTATTTAATTTATTTTATAAAATATTTCAAAATATTATTTATTTAAGTAATATACAATATATATTTTATTTAATTTTAGATCAAAGATTAAAAATAATTGATTGCAAAATGTAAAATTTGAACAATAACTCGAAGTCTAAAAACTAAAACATTTTGCATCCCTTTCTCCAAAGCAGCGCTGCATTTTGACAACTTCCCCCTCAAAATTTAGAATTCCTCTTCACTTTTAATTTCAAAATCACCTAAAATTTCATAACCCCTCCTTAAATTATCAAAATCCCTCCTTTTTTCCTATTCTCTTTTGCTATCTCACAAGTCCATATCATAGTTTCACACACGGCAGATGCCCTCCCACCTTCAAAATCTCTAGAAATATCGCCATGAACAGTGCCACGAGAATGAGATTTCTCCTCTTGCATCGATTTGAGCTCAAATTCGTGAGATTTTTGGAACCTCGGATGCACCATCAGCTCGTGAATCCATATATGAGGAAGTTTCGCTGATTTTGTTTATGAAAATCTGAAGAATCGGAAGTCAACGCAGGTCTGGCACTGTTCATTCAAAATTTTGTCTCTTTGATTCACGATGATCCAGACTTCTTTGATGGCTAATTTTTGGATATACTGAGCGGTTTGCAATCCCCTTCCATCCTATGAAGTTGAATTTCATTATGAATTGATTTTCATTTCGATTTGAGGGGTTTATGGGTTACGAACTACTGTTCATAGCGAGAACCTTGATTATGAATGCTTATGTTTTTTTCCAAGTTTTGTGGATTCTTCCCTGCTGTTTTGAGTTCCTTTGAGATGCATATGAATGATTTTACTTGTACAAGTTCCTAGTATGAATAGCTGCTGGTGTTCTTGACTCCTTTCACGGCATAGTTTCCCAGTATGAATAGCTGCTGTTTTTCTTGTTTCCTGGTAATAATAGGCTCATAGCTAGAGATCTGTAGTCTTTTTAACTCCTTTCACGGCATAGTTTCCCATAGCTTTTAATGTTTTCATTGTGAGGCTTCATATCAAACTTGTGATAGATTTTCCCTTCCACAAAAAGCCTTCCCTGCCCTGATTCAGAAAATATGGACATTGGAATAAATTCTGTTGACATTCCCATGGAATAGGATTTGGGAATGTTTCCAGGTTCGCTACCAGCCAACCCCATGGATTATGTGTGATTTGTGTTAGGTTTACATGCTTTGATGTCCAATAAACTAATTGATTTTGTCTGATTTTGAAAAAAATCGTACGGAATTGCAGAGATATCAATGTTTTGATGACGGCATTGAAACAGATAAAAGAGAAAGCTCATAAGGACGATCGGAAGAATAATGAAGAGACGATATCTAGGTGAGTGAGTAGGGCTTGCAGTTTCTCGCGGCTCAAATTTCAGCCAAACACTGATTATGAAGATTGTTGTAAATTTTGGTCAATTTACATATTCAAACACTGATTATGAAGATTGTTGTGAATTTCAGGTTCATATAATCATATGGAATTGTAGAACGTATTTGATTGGTTCATTTTGTGCAATTATTTTGACCTGCTACAGACATGTGTTAGTAAATTCAGCCTAGTGTTTGGGAATAGATCATCCTTGGTACTCTATTTACTTTTGTATTTGAAGACAATGGAAATGATATTATACTGTGGTGGATTTTTTTCTGTAATTTTTTTCATCTTCCTTTGTTGCATTTGATTTAGGACATGAATAAGGACAAAAGAGCTTTGGAGAGTTTCCATATTGGGGAGATCCAAAGAAATGGTTGTTGCTATTTCATTGAGATGTTCAAGACAAGGTTGATGAACATTTAATTTTCTTAAAAGAGTGAATATATTAATCTCATTTTGTGATACCATCTCAAAGTTTTCATTTCTTTTGCTTCTTAAGGCTCATGTTAAGATTCTTGTCATATTCATTGATGAAGATAAAGTGCGAGAAGCGGGGCTTGGGGAGAACTTACGAGTCCGAGTATCTGGGATTGAGGAAGATGATATCTTATCAGGCTTTGTTTTATTTTATGCAGTGTTGGTAAATACCATTCAATTATTTTCTCTGTTTAGTCTACTTTTTCATTTTTCAAAGCTTTATGTGTGGATGCTTCTAAATTGTTTGTTCATTTTGTTACACAGTAATAAAGTGGATGCTTTGCAAGAAAATACTTAATGGTATGCAGATTGAGGACTCAAGTGGATGCTTTACAAGAAAATATTGCTAGAGCAAGAGATGGATTCAAAAATGTTATTGAGGGGATAAATACCTAAATTAGGTGTGCCAAATGGACAATTAGAGTGTGATTTTATTTATGTAAATATTAAATTATTGGATGTTATTTAGACTTGGATTTTATGTATTTAGATATTATTTAATATATTCTACATTTTAGAATTTATTTTTGTTTCATGATCAATATTTTGGAATTGAAATAAATTTTATTTATTAAATATAAATGTAAATAAAAATATAGTAGTCTTTCAAACAGATTTACAATATATTAAAATAGTTTTCTAAATCTTTATAGAACAACTACACAAACCTGTACTGTTAATAAACGTTAGACAATAGAAATAAACAGTTGTGTGAAATACAAAAATATAGTTGTTTACATTTTACAAATACAACACAGAATAGCAGTTGTCTTATGCAAACATTCTTAGTTGTCTTCGGAGCAGTAGTCTGATTTACAATTTGACTACTGTGTAAAAAGATAGTTTGAATATTTCTAGGACAACTACAAAAAAGCATAGTGTTATTCAGCACTATACAAGTGAAAGAAACGGTTGTTTAAAATACAACATAATTAGTAGTCTACATTTTAGAAATATAACACAAGATAACAGTTGTCTGATACTATTTTTGTTTAGTAGTCTTCCAAGGAGCAGTCTGATCTATCTTTCAACTACTATTGAAATTAGATGTCTATATTGTTGAACGACAACACCAGGCAATAGGAGTCTGAAGTCGAAAACAATAGTAATATTCATTATAGATAGACAACAAAACGTCACAGTTGTCTTTAACTTCAGAAAACAGATGTCTTACTCATACGAGGACAACTTCAAAAACATGTACTCTGAAACATCACAAAATAGGTGTTGTCAACCGTATTACACAATTGTTTTTAGACAGTAGTCTGTAAATATATCAGACAGCTGCTCGGAAGACTACTGAAACTAGCACAGTTAGACTACTAAAAAGAACAATTGTCAGCATCTGTTTTTGACGTAGTGATAGTGTGTCCTGTGTCGGTTATAAGCATACTTAGGTGGCACAAATAGCTTCTGGGGTGGAGGGTGACTATATCTTGGCATAGTTCTCCACTCAGAATTTCTTGGAAAACTCCTGTCTACCCCATAATGGGTATAGCCTCGTGTATAATGGGGGTTAGAAGGTTTTCTTCTGAAATTATTTCCTTTTTGAGGTCTGTCCAGCTTCCTATAGTTCTTAGGAGGGACTACCTTTTTGGGAACTTCTGTTGGTTTTTCCTTTTCCTTCCCTTTCTGCTTATTTGGTTTAGCAGTAGGTTTAGGAGGGATGAAAGTTGTTTTCCCTTTCCTTTTAGAATTGGAGGGGTCAAACCCAAGTCCTTCACGACCCTTATGTTTGGTCGCTTCAAGAAGCTTATCCACTGCTTCTTTGGACTTAAGAGTCCCTAGTTCTTTGTTAAGGGATTTCACCTTTTCAGAGAGAGATTCATTTTCAGTCTTGAGTTGAGTGATCTCATCCAGTTGACTTTTCCGACCTTCAGTCAACTTGAGATTCTCTTCACTCAATAGTTTGTTCTCCTCTGTTAAGGAAGAATGTTTGAGATTTATTTCCTCAAAATCTTTCATCATCTTTTTGAACTGGTCAAAAAGATTTTCAGAAGTTGGTATGCTTTCATAAGAAGATGAGCAGGAGGTTTGTGAGGTTACCTCTTGATCAGCATCATCTTTGGCCATTAGGCAGAGAGTGTCATCTTCTGACATAGTCCACCTATCCTCATGGTTGGACTTTACAACTCTGCGCTGCATGCAGACGAGGGCTTCTTCATCCGAGCTTGAGCTGGATGACTCGTCACTTTCAGCAGCAACCATTGCTTTCTTTTTCTTCTCGATCCTTTCTCTTTCTCCGTACTTCTCCACTTTTGGGTACGGGCACGCTGACTTCCAGTGGCCAGGCTTCCTGCAATTGTAACACAAATAAGATTCAGGAGGAGAGTCACTTACCTGTGGCTTTCCCTTGGATGGCCTTCTGACTGAGTCAGCTTTCTTGAAGAACTTTTTGAACTTCCGGAATTGCTTGACCATCATGGCAAATTCCTCATCGTAGTTCTCCATTTTTGA